GTGTGTGTGTGTGTGTGTGTGTGTGTGTGTGTGAATGTTGTGAGTAATTTATTACCGAAAATTTTGGCCGAAAATGTCCTTAGTGTGTGTATGGCCTGGATTTAGTTACATGTAGCCATCTGATGCGTAAGGAAGGATGCCGTTCGCAAATGCTTGCACCAATTCCCTGCTAGAAATATTGTATGACGGACAAGCCACCGCCTGCCCAGCCGGCCAGGGCTTCATTGGTTTCTGTAGTAAGCCGCCCGCCAACCCTGCCGGAAAGGGTGTCCCTGTTCGTCTGCCAATCCTTCGATTTAGTTACTAGCTAGTATTTGATTTTCCACATCTTTTTCCTGATTGGTTCTTGGATGGGTGCTCGTCCACGCGAAAACTGTTGGCGCCTTCTTTGCTCGGCAGGCGTACTCTTTTTTAGAGCTATGCTTGACATCCTTCCTTTCTCTGTTTTTTTCTTTTTTTTTTTAAGTGCTGTTGTGGTTGCTTCGTCTGCAATCCAACTGTCAGTCCAGTTTTGCAATCCAGATCGCCTCCTCTAGGATCGCTTTCTTTTTTTTCTTTTTTTTTTCTTTTTTTCTTTTTTTCTTTTGTGACTTTCTCGAGGAATGACCTTGCCACCTGCCGTGGATGTTTTGGGATGTCTCTCTGTTATGCTTTCTCTGACATTACGGTCATGCTTCCATCTGTCGATTTCTCTCCAATCAAGCTTTGTAGATTTTCTCTCTCACATTGCATCCTGAAGACCTTGCCTTTTTTTCCCCCTTTGTCTTATAATTTTCTTGTCGAGGCTCCAAAAGAGCTGATCTTCTTTTTGTTTTTCCCTTTTCTTAACCTGAGTGCTGCAGTGTAACATTTTCATCACTTTGTTTTTCAACATTTTTCTCTCTCTCCCGGGAATATAACATAACTGCATCCATTTCCAGCTCTTTCTGTTCTCTCTCTCTCTTTTTTTTTTTTTTTTTTCTTCCTTCTTGGTTCATTCGTCTATTAAATTTTGACTATCGAGTTTTTTTTTGGTCTTTTTAATAGACTTTTTCTCTTTTCTTTTTCGCTGTTGAGGCTCCTCAAGTACTACCGAGAATGCGACCGACATGCCTTTTTTTTGCATTTTCTTCACGTGTTTCTCTTGTGGTTGGAGGGTGTAAGTAATCTCCTTTAGAGCATACTCGCATTAGCACCCTTTTACCTACTTCTGGATGGAATTGCGGCCAGATGCATACAGGTCTGGTCGTAAATGCAGTCAGATTCATCAAAGATTCTGCGTGCGTGAGTAAGCCGCCCTCAGTGATCCGCACCTCCCCTTACAAAGTACTTCACACGCTGCAACTTGTCTTTTTCTTTCGATCGGGACATTCTTGGACCGCAAGCGTGCACAGATCATTTAGATAGGATACCTGTTTTTTTTTTTTGTTTTTTTTTTTGATACAATAGGTTTCAGGATAGCACTTAGGCTATAGCATGGAGGATAGCACTTAAGGCTATAGCATTTAGGATAGCACTTAGGCTCTACAGGCAAGCATTTCTTCTCTCTCTCTCTCTCTCTTGTTCTTCTGCCTCGGTTTTCAATGCTCTTCCCTCACCGCTCCCAGATCTGATGAGCAGGTCTGATTAGCGGGCGAGGATGGCAGACAGAACAGAAAATTTTTGCTCGCTATTTTGCTTTCAAAATGCAGCAATGTTGTCCACAAGGCTTCAGGAAATCTCTCTCTCTCTCTCTCTCTCTCTCTCTCTCTCTCTCTCTCTCTCTCTCTCTCTCTCTCTCTCTCTCTCTCTCTCTCTCTATCTATCTATCTATCTATCTATTGGAGACATAATATCTAATTATGCATTGTCGTTGTACTCCACTTTCCGGACAGTGACAAGGTTGTTGTTTACTAGCGCCAAGTTTTAATTAAATGGAGTCAAATGCAGTTTGCATCTTCATTTGGGGGGAGGGGGCGCGACAGATGAATGAATGAACGATAAGGTTCACTAGCCGGGTTGGTTTTCAGGAGCAGGCGAGAGAGAGAGAGAGAGAGAGAGAGAGAGAGAGAGAGAGAGAGAGAGAGAGAGAGAGAGAGAGGGTGATTGATTCAGGAAGTGTGCCATGCGACTTCTGTCTCTTGTCGTCCACTCTGATGATTGCCTGCGTCTATCGACAGTACTCTAGATATTGCCTCAATCTATCAATACCCCTCTAAAAATTGCCTAATCTATTGATACCCCTGTGAGGTAAACGAGCAGGGTTAGTTTTCAGGAGCATGAGAGAGAGAGAGAGAGTGTGGGTGATGTATTCAGAAAAAAAAGGGCTTGGAGTTAAGTCCAGACGTGCTACAGTGCTGAATGTACCTGATCTTAATGATGGCGAGATTCAATCATTCTCTTTCCAGCTTGAGTATACTGTGCCATGCTCTCTCTCTCTCTCTCTCTCTCTCTCTCTCTCTCTCCATCCACTCTGATGATTGCCTGTGTCTATCGACTGTACTCTAGATATTGCCTCGATTTATTAATACCCCTCTACAAATTGCCTGAATCCATCGATACCCCTCTATCAGTTGCCTGAATCTATCTATAGCGCTAGAAACTTCCATGAGCGATTGTGTTACGAAGTAATGTTTGGTGTTTCGCTATTCCCCTTCCCCCGAAAACAATGCACCCTCATAATGAATGTATGCAAGCTATCTTTCCGGCCTGGTGAAGCTAATATGAGGTGCACTATGTTCGGGGTAAGACGGTAGTAATTGCCTTTCCATGTTGTTTTTTTCCAATTGTTATTTTATTCATCTGATTGCATCTCGATTCGAACGTGGGTTTATGTTTGAGCAGTTCATGTGTGTACCAATTGAGCTAGGCCCGTCGGTTTTCCATGTGTTTTTGACGTTCCTATGACAGAGAAACTTCTTTTTTTTTTCCCTCTTTTTTCCTTCTTCTAAAGGAAAGAGAACATATCTAACCGGTTAGAGAGGCGAAAGAGTGCTGTTTGTCTTTCGTATTGGTCTCGATGCATATCTTCCCTGAGTGGAATGTACGGTCGTTATAGTCTTCTCGATCTGTGTGCTAATCATGAACCTACCATCTTCTCAGGACTAGAACATTCGGTCATTATAGCGCTATCAGGACTGAAAGCTGGCGCAAATACAGCTTTGCAATGAACCCCTTTTTGACTTGCCGGGGGAATAGGAACCGGACTGTTGCTCCCCAGAATGGCAGGAGCCAGAACCGAGAGGTTCTGATCGGAAGATTGAAAAAAAAAAAAAAAAAAAAAAAAAAAAGCTTTGCAATGAACCCAGTCAATTGGAAAGCTCGTCAGGTCTCCCATAATTATGAATCTGATCGAAGGACAATGTCTCGTAACCAAGGGACGAAGCTGATAGGACGGAGATAAGACTTAGAGGGTGGAAGAAAATGTATCCGTCAATGTCATCGAAGATAAATATCCCTCGTGTCCCACTCCTCCTTCGGGCATCTCCCCTCTGTCCACATCCGCGTACAATATCCCAAAGATGAGTCTGGGGAGAACCGATCACAACATAGTGCCACGTAGGCACAAATCTCCATGAAGACGTCACAACAGCGTGCAATGTTGACACCAACAATCAGGTAAGCTTCCCTCTTTTTTTCACAACCAATCTCACAACCCTGATCTTCCTCCTCGTCGATACCCCAATCTGTGTCGAAGACAATGTGGCAAGTGTCACGTCAACAATCAAGATTCTAGCTGACAACAAGTACAGAGAGGCGTCAACGACGCAATGCAGCAGTCTCGCGTCGTCGTCTCACGCTATTCCAGCGTATTGCTAGCGTCAAGTCTGCGATGTGCTAGCGATGTGCCAGTGTAGTGCCAACATCAAGCAGCAAGTGCAAGATTGAATATCTATTATCATGGGCTGAGTTAATAAGTAGTGTTGATGCAAGTTGACATGTCTCTGGTCTCCCAGATACGAGGGCTTAGATTGACTCGCAGTCAATGACTTGGATCTCTTACAATTGCAGACTTTCACTTTGACCAAATTCTGCATAGATACCTACGAACAATCAAATGTGTATCTGATCGGTGACTTGGATCGGGTCTGTGCAAACTTTGATTCGTGAGCCTAACATTGACAAATGTCTTCGTAACTGTCGTGACATTCTTTAATAATCATCGTTTTGAGTTCTCCTTTGTGAGGAATGCAAAGTCTATCTTCGGTTTCATCCATAAAGAAGAGCAAACCGTCAGTCGTACAATATTCAGGTAGTTGTTCAT